GACAGCATCGAGCCCTTCAGTGGGGCAGGACAGGGGCAGAGGACAGCTCAGCAACATCCAAAAGCACAGGGACAGCTCCAAACATCCCCTGTGCTGGCGCTGACACGGATGCTTGGGGCTTTCCATGATGATCCTACATTTGGCACACCCTCGCCCCGGGGCAGCGCAGCGCTGGTGGGGACATGGGACGTGCCAGCCATGCAGCCAAGAGATATGCCAGCCGTGGGGTTGGGCACTGCTGGCGTTGCTTGTGATGCTTGCAAGGAGAACGTGGATGGGCTGCTGCTCTCACCTTGCTCAATCCATGGCCGTGCAGTTTGAGGGCACGTGCCCGGGCACAGCGCTGCCCTGTGCCGCTGCTCCATGGGATGAGAAATCCCACGGTGTGAGGCTCCTCCTGCATGTAGCGGGCAGGTGGAGCGCCTGGAGGCACCATTCCCATCCCAAACCACACGTGTCCCAGCTTCGATACGGAGGTGAGAGCAAAACCTCCGGCGCTGAGCGGAAACACGCGTTTGCTGGGAGCGCTGGAGGCAAAGAGTGCGTGCTCAGCTTCTAAGGCGTGTGGCTTTTGCTTTTGCACACGCAGACAAAAATAACAACAGGAAACACAGGCAGGCTCCCAATTAATTGATAGCGCACCCCGTTCCCCGGGTGGATCTACATCCCTGTTTCTGGGCTGCCTGAAGGCTCTCCTTGCCCCAAGCAGCCGCTCTTCAAGGAAATTGATTTTCAAGCAGGCTGCGCCTTTTTTGTTCAATTCCTTCAGGCTGTGGCTCAGTCTCACTTTCATTTAGGAAAAATACCATTTTTTACAATTGCAGCCTCACTTTAAAAAGGCACATAGGCCCGGACCAGCAGAAAGGGCTCTTTTCCAAAGTGCTGAGCTTCGTCCTTTGTGTTTTTCCCTCCCCTTAGAAAGTGTGGAGGGACACAGGACCATGATGGGGACCTGTCCCAGAGCTCCTGCCGCACCAAACCCTGCGCAAGGCAGCATGCAGTGCTCCTCGGCTGCAGCAGGGAGCTGGCTTATGCCCGGACATGTCCCACAACCTGTTGGGAGATGAGGGCTGGTTGCTGCTCTGCAGCAATGGAGAGAGCAGTAGAATGCAAAGCTCGGAGCATCTCTAGAAGGATCAGGTTGGAAGGATCAGAATTAAGGGTTATTTCATTGCCTGTTTAAAAGCAACACATGTGAGTTGCCTCTGCTGCATCTTCCATCTCCTGCAGCTGGTCTTCAGCTGCACCCCAACTGATCCCAGCCCCGAGCTGTCCCTGACCATAGAGATGCATAGACACTGTTGGGGTGATTCTGCTGGTGGAGCTTTGTTTATTTCCTTTCCAACTGGCCACTTTGGAAGGCCCAGCCCAACCCATTGCTCTACCATGAGCAATGCACTGCGTGCAGGGCTGTGCCCTGCTGCCGGCCACGGGTGAGGAGCGTGGGCACCATCCGGCCCCTGGTCACCCATGGGCAGCTCCATGCCCGACATGTGCATGCAAGCCTGAGCTGAGCAACTTGCCACGTGGAGAGATGGAGGAGCCCAAAAATCCCAACTTCACCATAAAAATATCAATCATCTCTAAACATCCGTGCGCTGCTGATCCTTCCCTCCCTGCTCGGTATTTTCTCACGCTCTGAAGCTGGCAGCAGGCGCTGGGAAGCAGTGTTGGAACTTGTCCTGCTGTCCCATCAAGGCTGGTTATCTCCAGCATCGAGCCCTACAGCTGGAAGGGCTGCAAGTAGGGGCAAGGCACGCTCCTGCTTGCCGCTTTCCATTGCGTCACTTGGACAAGAACTGAGTGAATGCCCCAGGGCCAGATCCCACACACAGCACCTTGCCTGGTCCTGCACAACACGGCAGGTCCTGGCAGCCCCATGCTACCAGGACACAGGGACCCTAAGGATGCCCTCGAGAATCAATGGGAGCCCTCCCTCACCCTCCCTTCCCGACAGCTTGCATGGAGCTGGTCTATGTCCAGCTTCTCAAAAATCATCATGTCCAGGGATGTGATTTCTGGATGTGATTTCTGCTTCCTGATGGGGATGGGGAAGCCTCTTGGCAACCACCTTTGGAGCAACGCATGGCCAGAGCTCCCACCAGGGCAGTGGGGACAGGAAGGGATTGTCACCCCTCCAGGGACGCTGCATTGGTAGGAGACAGGGAGACACCTGCATGCAAAGCACAGCCCTAACATGGTGTGCTCAGTGTGGGATCCTTCTCGGACTGAGCCTGCTTAATTAAAGTAATTATGAGGCAAGCTGCTTCCTTGCCCCTCCCTTGCCTGTTCCTCTATGAACCAATGGGTTTGAAAACCTGGCCAGCCGGATCCATGCTCTCCTCCTGCTGCAGCACTGCAACCTCTGTGAACAGCAGCCTGCAGAGCTCGTGCTGTGGCCTCCGTGAGCTCCTCGCTTGTACCAGCACGTGGCCAGAATGGCATAGCATGGCACCGTATGCTGTGGGACAGTTTCACTTGGCATGGCACAGAACAGCACATCACATCACGTCATGGGATAGCACATCGTGGGATGGCACAGCATGGCAGGGTGTAGCCATGGGCATAAGGGGGGTCAGTGCAGCCCGGGGGAGGGCACACCTTGTGTTCACCTTCTCCATCACGAGGAGTTCAGTGCCCAGAGCTGGGTCACTGCCTGGCCCACATTGCCACCAGAGGTTGTGGAGATCACAGTGTGATGATTGCTGTCACCAGCACCACAAGACCCACATCCCTGATCCTTGCCACTTCTTTCTATGTCTCAGCACAGGGACACGGCCCAGCCCGTTGCTCTGCTGTGGGACTGGGAGCTGTAGGGCATGGAGGTGCCTGCTAGATTGAGCTCCCTTTTCCCCAGGAAGATCCAGAACAGTAGAGCAGCAAGGCAGGAAACCAGTGAGCTTCCTACATACCCAAAAGGTTTCTCCTGTGTGGATGCTCTGCTGTCTAATAAGAGGCTGAGCTCCCCTTTGCAGTCTGAGGTGACACCAGCAGCAACACCATCACTTCTCCGACCTCATGTGCACAGCAGTCACTGGCAGAGGCATCTCTGAGGCCATTTCTCAATTGGTCTTTGGCCAGCCCAGTGCTTACTCTTCTAACAGATAAAATAGCTTTGTTTCAGTGTCCCCCAGGCCACGGTCACCCAGTGGGTTTGCAGTGGGACGGCCTTTCCCATCCTTAGAAATGTCTGAGTGCTGTAGAAAAAAAAGAAAGAAAAAAAAAAAAAAGGCAAAGCTGCAGATGTTTGTTTACTCCCAATAATTTCCCGTTTTGGTCATTTCCCGGCTCACTCGGGTGGGAGCCTCTACGAGCAGCATCACATCCGTGCCGGGCTGTGCTGCACTGCAGCGCGGGGTGAGGAGCTGGGGATGCAGGGAGCAGAGATCTGCTGGGCAGGAAAGATGAGAAGCCAACAAAATCAGGCTGTGCTGATGGCAAGGAACCAAACGTCCCTCTGCGCCGTGACCTTCATTGTGTGGGGAAGGAGGGAGAGCTGCCACTGAGAAAACGTGATAAGGATGGCCAGCAGGATGGGCAGCCAGCGACGTGGTTTTGTGCTGCGTGTGCATGCAGGCGGCTGGGGATCGCGTGCGGCGGGCTTGGCTGCGTGCAGCAGAGCGGTGAGTGCTGGGTGCTGCAGCAGCTGGGGATGCACTGCTGCATCCTGCAGTGCTGCAGCTGGGAGAGGGGCTGGAGGAGACGCAGAGCTGCTGGAGGAGGCAGGAATGGGGAGTAGAGGTGAGACACCGAGCTGGGGGCACGGCTGTCTGCAGTGGCTTTGCCCCTTCCCCAAACTGGGGGAACCCAGGAGGTTCTCTCGGGTGGGAAGCCTCCCCACACCCAGCCATGGGGTGCAATACCTCTCGGGGGGTAGGACTGGAAGCAGGGGGGCCAAGAGGTGTTCCCTCCCCAAGGACTGTGCTTGCACAGCAAATGGCACAATTAGGGCTGAGGCTTAACTGAGTGTGCTAATTTGACATCTGGCGATTTGATCAGGCTGAAGAAACTGTTTACATTCACCTTCCACTATGTTTGGTTTGCGATAGCAGCAGAACAGAAGGCGATGCTGCGGGTGTCCTGTTCTCAGAGCTTTTATGGGGGTTTCCTATGAGAAAAGCAGAGATAGGACTGAGCCTGGCAGCCGCCCATCCAGGCCTTTTTCTCCCAATTTTTATTTCTCTCTGTTTAGCCTTTGCCTCATCTCAAATAAAAAGAGTGATTTAAAACTCTTCGCAATAAAACAGTTTAAACAGAAGTCAGTCCAGAGCGCTGCATAATGGGGGAGAAGGCTTGTGTTATTTACTTAATTACAGGCTGATGTTTGTCAAGTACTTGTGGGTGAATTGCTTGCAAATAACAGGTGAGTTTACTCATGCTCAGAGCCCTGAGTCCTGAGATTAGAGCTGGGTGTGGAGGCAGGAGGGTGCTGGGGGCTGCGGGTGGCCTCCAGCAAATCCCCACTGCTGGGGTTGGGGGTGTGGTTGGGGTGCTGAGCCCCTCGGGTGTCATTTGTATGGTCTCAGACACACAGCAGCTTCTCCTTTTTTAACCTACAGATCAGATTTAACTATTTATGGAGTCACTTTGGAAAATGCGGGGGAGAGTGGAGACTGCTTTCGCATGCCTGGATTTTTGGTGCTTGGCTTGCAGATGCATCCTGACCTGCTGGAGGTCCTCAGGGCTCTAAAAGGGGACCTTAGGCTGCTGGGAGGGGAAATAGCTGCCAGGTGCTAGGCTAATGCAATGGAGAGCATAGGTGGGTTCTGCCTTCCAGGTTCATGGAATTGGGAATGGGCCACAGCTGGTCCCAGCTGTTTTTGTGACATCCCAGCACCGGGGCATGGGCACCTCCCCTTCGTGTCCAGGCTGATGGAAACCACAGCTGTCCTGCGTGCACAGAGCAGGGAAGTGACACCAGGCAGGGGACAGATGAAACAACATGCAGGAGTTAAAAACAGCCCCTGCTGCCACTTCTTCCCTCACCACAGGATACAGAGAGCAAAAACCCAGCTGCTCAGATGAAGGACGGAACCCAAAGCTTCACCAGCAAGCAAAGACATCTGAAATGGAGACAGGGACCAAAGGGACGAGGAGTACATCAAAGACAGGAGCTCCATCTTCACCTCTTGCCCTGCTCAACCCTATGGACACAGAGCTGTGTGCAGCACAAGGGGGTGAAGGAGCTGCCCACCATGCACCTGGTACAGGTGCTGGGAGCAGAGGGGAGCTGCCCCAACATGGGGTGATTCAGTTCCGAATCACGCAGCGCCCACTGCACTCCACCAGAACTCTCGACTTGCTGCTTTGCCTGTGCTTGCACACTGTGCTGGGGCTGACAGGGAGCCGGCATGGAGCCACGGGTGATCCCTCACCATGATCCGGAGTGTGGGAAAAACGCAATCGCTGCAAACAATCAGAGGCAAAGCCAGCAGCAGCACGCAGAGAGGAATTCGGAGGCGCATTCCAGCAGGGATGACAGAGAAGGGGCTGGGAGTGCAAAAAAAGAAACGTGCTGTGATTTGTTTTGTTTTGCTTTTTTTTTTTTTTTTTCCCCTCTCTGCAGCACCATCACACCCTGCTCGGCTTTCGAGTAAAGCTGCTGCATGCTGCAGGGTGGCACAGTGGGGAGCTGGAGTGTTCTGTCCCCAATGGAAGAACACCTCTCCGCACCTTCCAAGCCTACAAAACCTACAAAGAGCAGTTCTAGGCATGTGGACTGCAGGCAGGACTGCTGGCACATGGGAGATGCAATGGCCACCAGCCTGATGTCACCACTAGCCAAGGCAGCTCGTTCCCTGCACAAAGCGTGCCACCTTCCCAGCTCTCCTGACCCACTTTCCACATGGCACAATTAAAGCAAAGCAAAACAGCAGGAGGAAGAGACTTTGCAGGGCTGGCACAGTCATTGTGCGGGGACCAGTGTAGGCCAACACGCAGGGCAAAGAGCACAGAGGCTCCAGGGAGCAGAACAGGGGCTTAGGCACAAATTTACAACCTCCTCCTCAGTGCCCACCTCCCTCCCACCCCACCAGCATCCTTCTCTCACAGGGGTGCCTGATGGGCATAGGGTCCTCCAGTGGCACAAGTGAGGGATAATTGTGAGAGTGTGCAGGGTGCCCCTGTGCTGTATTTCACTCATTGCTTCAGGCAGAGCAGCCATCCGGGAGCTAAAAGCATTCAATTGTTCACTGATGCTTTTCTTTGAAGCCCGCATTCATCCTCCAAGGTCTGTATTGATTGGGGACTCCAGGAAAGCATCTGCCCTTCTCTGCCTTCATCAATGACTTTCCCACATTAATCCACCTCTTCCCTTGATAACCACACTAATTACTCTCAGCTAAGTTGACTCTGGCAGGTCACAGGAGGATGGGAAGAACAACCTGCTCTAGAGCCAGGCTGTGCCTTAAAGCTGCAGATTCCTGTCCTGGAGTGGCCCATTGCCCCAGAGAGAACTGGCTGCACTGGCAGCATGAGCCCCACCAGGGCCATGTTGGGGATGCATGCAGCTGAGTGAGGGGTTTGCTTTCCACCTGGGGGGCTTCTGTACCTCCAAGGGAATCACTGATGATTTCACATGGATGGGGACAGCAGACCCTGCTCCAGTAGGTGCACATCCACACCCCCTGCCTGCATCCAACAAGGTTTGGTGTTCAGAGCTATGAAGGGCTTTTTGTTGTGCTGCAGGGTGCATTAGACCACCCCACAGGTTCACAGCCTTCAGCCTGGGGAGGTCTAGTCATGAAATGAGATACTTCTCACTTCTCTACCTGAGTTTCCTTGGAGGGAAAACAAGATGTACAGATCTCTGGGCTCTTCCATTCTCAACCATTCTCATGGTAAGATGGGAACAAGAACTGAAGCAGCCCTGCAGGGATGGCCTGTGCAATGGGAAGGAAAGTGGGACTGGGAGGAGGTGGGGATGGTGACAAAGGGGCACATCCAGATGTCCCATTGCCTTCCGCATCTTGACCTGTACACCCAGAGTAGGAGTGGTCAGAAACATGACAGTGATGTGGATAATGGGTGTGAAACCCTGAGAAACCCACTCCTGTCTCATACCTGCTGCTTTCACTTGGTTAAGATGTACTAAATTTAAAAGTATGTCAATCTGGCAAGGGGAAGGAGTTGTTTTATCCTGCCACAAGTCAGCTCCTGAGCCAGAAGATAACAGCTTTCTGCTTTAGGGCTCCCACAGAAAAAGCCTTCCTGGATCTTCTGACTCAAAGCCCATCTTCCTGTTTCTCTCCAGAAAACAGCTTTTGCTCATAAACGTTAATGTACTCTGCAGGAACTCAGCAGTCCAGCAGGTGAGAGCAGCCTCTATTGCTCTGGTATTCAAACCAGAGACACTTCCTGTCCTTTTCCTTACCTGGAAGAAAAAGTAGCTTTTCAGGCTGCAATGAACTCAGACTTAAGATTAAAAGAGAGCAAAAACAAAGCTTGCAGAGAAGAGAACCACGTGTACATGCAAGGAGTGCTGGGGCCATAAAATGGCTGCTGAGCTGGTGGTGATGAGGGACAGCCCCATCAGGTGAGGCTGCAGTGAGCTGGGAAGCCTCCTACACCCATGCACAAGGTCTATCATGTCTTTGTTTAGATTGCAACACAGGCTCCTCTTGTCCATCCCTGCTTGCCATCTGCTGCCCTAGGCAATGGAGGGGGCACTCTGTACCAGGGGGAACACCCTGCAGCAGGGGGGGGTTCCCTGTGGGGTTCGGGGGTCCCCGTGGTTGGATGGATGGTCCTATGCCCTATAGAAGCCTGTAGGGCAGGGTGAGCACTTCCCTCCATGCTGCTGTCACCATGCTGGTGTGGGTCTTGCTGCCATCATGGCCTGGTGCAAAGCACTCCTCCTCTGCACCTAAACTGGCTGGGAATCATGGCTGGGGTGACCTCACACATCCTCACGCACCTCAAAGAGGCTGCAGGGTGCACGACCCAGCCCCACGTATGCCCTTTTGTCCCCAGATTTCTTGCCCCATGGTGGCCCCACACTGGTGCCTAAAGGAACACTGGGTGACTATGGAAGACACGAAGGCCCCTCGAGAAACCCTATAAGGACACGGGAAACCCTCCAGCAGCCTCATGGGGCTCAGCCCTACCAGCCCCGGAGGCCATTCCTGAGGCATTGTCGCCATCTAGCGACACATACCGGGCTGCCCGCAGGACACCGGTGGTCCCACGCCCATCCCTGTCGTCTACCAGCCCAAGGGACGAGGGGCTGTGGGGCCAGAGCTGGGGATGGGGAGGAGGGAGTAGAGTTCTATGGGTGACATTGAATCACAGAATCATTAAGGCTGGAAAAGACCTCTAAGACCCCCCCCCCCCC